CCCCAAAACCCCAAAACCCCAAAACCCCAAAACCCCAAATATAAAAATTAATATTGAAATAATTTAATGAATAAACTCAATTCAACCTTCACTCACCAGAAAACTAAAGATCTCAGCTTCTGTCTTAGCACAATGAACAAGAGTATGAAGGCTGAGTCTAAGAATGAAGATCTGAGGGACTTAATCTATGACATAAAGTCTTTCATTGCGATTATGGATAGTGACCATCACCCAAGTAAGACTTCTTTCTCGTCCTTAAATCTCACCGGAGGTTGCGAACTAAGGTCTCTTCAGCAAGCTCTTAAAATTTATCTAAGGTGGCATAAATCTGCCCTTTTTATATGAAAATGGAGTCAGATTTGTGAATGAAAAATTTCGGATCTGAATGTCAGATCTTCATAAAAATCTCCAGGCAGATTTAATTCGGTTAAAAATGTTATATCCAGACTTTTCTAATTCATGTGTCATAGGAAAATCAACGAACGTAATCAACAACTTTTTGACTGGAAATATGGACATATTCCGGTGATGGAAGTGAGACTACCCAGCCAAGTTCATTGTGAAAGTTCTGGACGGGAAAACGATCCTTTACTCTTGTAAAGATTGCATGACTCAAAAGCAGAAACAGAAAGCTATCAGAATTAAAACAATCGTTGAATGTTTTAAGTAGGATTTTATGAACCTAACCTTTTAGTATCGAAACAAGAGTTCTCTTCGACAAAGCTCTGGAGATCTACCAACACTTGAGGGAGGAAAGCAGCCTGCCGATTGTGATTAAGGAGTACAAGTTCAGCAAATTTGCAATGCTTGTCTCCACTCTCTTATCTATGGTGCAGAAGTGAATCGTAGCCTGTGAGGAGAACGCGTCGGTAATGATCAAGATGGACAAGATTTTCAAAGTCTTAGAGGACAAACTCATGTACTTTATTTAATTTTTTTTTGTATAAAACTTAATAACACAAAGTCAAGATCTTGATCGTTTTGGTTGAAGCTTCTTATGTGGAGCCCATGAGCATGTCTTGTAGCAAAAAGTCTGCTACTCGTAAGCTATATATGGTCGCGCGGTTGAAGATACCTTTCTGAGTTCGTATTTGGAGGGGCACTTTATGAATCGGTTGGAGAAAATTACAAGAATAGCTCCTACAACTCTCCAATAGGGTATTTTTCAGCTAGATATTTAAGGATCGGGATGTTTCATTTGAAGAATTCGTGCTAAATTTTATAAGATCAGACGAATGATAGCTTTATATTTCGATAGCTGATCTTAATCAGTTCAATTCAAATTTTGTTAGTATTTATAACTACGTCTTTTTGAATTAGATATTTGACCAAAATAGATAAGAGTATTTCTTAGTTATAAGCATGAGCCTTGATGACCAAATACTTTCTTATAAAATGGGTAGATAGGTTAACAAAAACACTATTATCTTAAAAATACTCAATTTTATTATTCTCATGTTTGAGATGTTTATCCAATAAGATTTCTTCAACAAAGATAGGGCTAAATGGGGTTTTGGGGTTTTGGGGTTTTGGGGTTTTGGGG